CCCTTCCCTATATCGAAGTGGCCTGCTGCTGGGTGTGATACTGCGGTACTGGGCCCCGTCCCAAAAGCTTTCGGTAGGCCCCACGAGGCTGAGCCTCAATCCAAAACAAACAGGCCCAGGGCCTGTGGTGGTTGCCAGCGCCCAACTGCCCTCAGCCCTTTGTTCGGCCCATGTTGTGTATCCGGCCCAGGGCCTGCCTCAGTTACAGACGATGAAAGGCAGCCTGGGCCTGGGCACTTCCAACCAACTTGCGCTGCACAACTGCCTGAATTTTCCCCAGTTGCGTAGTAGTCCAAAATAGGCCACGGTCGGGCCTGCCTTCACTTAGGGCGGCCGACCTTGCTGATAACAGGGCCCAGTGGGGCTTATTGAGGACTTGTGCCTCACATTCCCTCCTCCATACTTCACTAGTCCTCTGAGAAGTTCATTAGATCTGGCGCTTTCCTTTCTGCAACAACTTCTCATAGTGGGCGACAACCTGTGGAACGGTCTGCATTAGTTCCTCCCGTGTAAACCATCTATCCTCCTTAGGATCAGTGAGATGTCTGAACCGAACGCGATACTGCAGCTTCGGTTTCGGAGGACGTCCCCTACCTGTCGGTCTTGGAACCAGCATTTCCCTGTGGTCCACCATGTCGTCGATGTCGACCTCTCCATCCATGCTTGGGTGCAGCTATTTTGAGGAACGTTGCACCTGACCTTATCTACCCTCTTCGACACTTCTTACCGTGAGGATGTGTGTTATGTCTTGAGAGTCCTCTCATGTGAGGAGTCGTGTGCGCTCAACCTTGAGAGTCGTCAGTCTTCACATGGAGCCTCTGGAAGAAGAGGGCGGTCCTATCTGAAAGGCCCTGGACGAAGCACTGGGTCACGGTCACCATGCCAACCCATCGGGAGTAGAGCACGCATGCTTTGCTGCTTTGTGCTTTGTCTGCTCGTTGCGCTATAGAGGGGTTTTGAGGGGCAGGTCAGCCCTATGGGAAAGACGAGAACCGAACGTCTATAAATAAGTACCGGCGGGGACCTTCCATTGGCTGTGATCGTCGTCCTGTTTGCGACGTTAAATAATTCCTGAGGACTTCGGGGACCGTCCATATAAACGCCTCCTGATCAGCCAATTGGTCGGTGTAAGGCTCGCTGCACGCGAGGATAAATATTGTGCAGGGCTGGCCAGCTCAACGGGACTCGGGGCACAGGGGTGGGCCGTGTGCACACGTTTAGACACGCATGTTGTTTCGGATTGCTCAGGGACGTTGACGACAAGAGACATTCAGGAAGAACTGAGGGAGGGGTAGATTCCAGGTGATAAGTTCTGGTAAGATTCCTTTCTGCAAACAGACCCAACAAATGATTCTATTTTTATTTTGATTAGTTAGATGTACAGCCATTAACATCTGACAGACAGCAGAGTTAGAATTGTTCTCTGTTCATTGTGCTTTCTGTTTGCGAATTAGTCAAAGTCAACGTAGTTTCGTTTGTAGGAACCTAAACTTACCTGTTGGACCCAAATGCATATACTCTGACTTAGCCACCGATTGATTATTTAATTATTTTAAATCGGTATGTGCACTACGTTGCGGTAGGCATCAAAGAGTGACCTAGTGCAGATCGTGCATAGTTTTGTAGCTTATGAGCGACAAGGATACCACTAGTGAGGACGACTGGATCTAATGGTACCCGAACTTCATATCTATTTTACTGAAGTACCAGCACCCTTGCACTCTATCTAGCAAGTCATCGATGCGCGGTAGGGGCTCTCGGTTCTTGATTGTCATGGTATTGAGGCCCCTTTAGTCAATGCACATCCTCAGTGTTCCCCCCTTCTTTGGTACGAAAAGGACTGGCGATCCATAAGGGGAAACACTCAGTCGGATTCAACCCTTCTCTATGAGTTCCTTGAGTTGTCGACGAAGCTCATCAAGCTCGCCTGGAGACATCCGATAGATCCTACCCTTCGCGATGCTAGACCCTGGGATAATCTTTATTGCATGGACGACCTCCCTCTCAACAAACCCTTTCGGCTCTTCAAATAGATCAGGGTATTTAGCAACTACTCCCTCTATCTCCGACGACATTTTCATCGGCTCGCCTGCTGCCGAGACGTAAACTAGATACATACCCTCCTTCGAATTTTGCTTATAATAATTGTAGAACGCGGCCTCACACATGCATTCGTAGGACTCGATCATACTACTAGTCTTAAACTTACGTAATTTGGTGGTCCCCCCACCTGGCAAATGCGCTTCACCGGCTGTGTAACCGAAAGATAGTACATACCCAACAAAATGTCCATTGGGAGATCATCGCTGACTAGGAACGATACGCTATGTCTCAGTTCCTCTCCCGTGTATGGGAAAGACACTCAATGTCCTAACAGTAATCCTTGACTACCATGCGCTGTTTGTTGGCACAGGTCGACTCCACAGGTCGACTTAGGCGCTGCACTTGCCCCTGTGAGCGCAGCCTCTCAACGCACGCGTGACTAATAAAGTTTCGGGTCGAGCAAGTGTCATAATAGGCCCCGGCCTTGCAACCGCTGATGCCTACCACGCTGAGAAACATCTCACCCTTAGGGGGTTTTGCCAATGTCGTCCAAAAAGCTAGCGGGTCTGATCTAGACCACTCCTCTTTTAGCTCCTCTAAGGATTCAAACACATTCATCGAACAAAGGCTCGATGGGTCTGAATGTGTTTGAGGGACGACGATGGAGTCAGTAGCTTGGGCCATCTCTCGAGATGGTGAGGGTGTGTCCACCGCCTCGACCCTAGTAGGAACAACTTCCATTCCTACTGGCCCAACGTGTTTCCCGAAGCACTGCCAAAACTGCTGGCCACATTGCTACCAACGGGAGCGGAGGATCCCAACGCCTGCCCCATCGTAGGCGGGATCTTCTCGGTCACCTTGTTGCGACACTTGAATTGGTTATGGCCATATTGACCACAACGAATACAGGCCTGCCTGGAGTACCTGTCTCTCCACACGTCCTTTATGAGACCTGCTTTCTCCCATGGAGGAGCATTTGGATCTACTTGACTCCTAGACCGGGAACCTCCACGGCGTCTACCGGTCGCCTTACCTTTCTGAACCGAGGTAGCGACTACTCCAACCCCTGAAGCCTCTGCGCTGCCTGTCTCTGAATTCACTCCCGCATGGAAGTTGTCATCCAACTCGATGGTAGAACCATCGTTGTCGACGAACATAATGTGCCCCTTCGCCTTCCAGTTGGGAGGCAGTGACTTTCTCTTACCATCCGTCGTGGGTGTCTGTCCATGCCCTATCTTTGCCTCCAGGTCTAGGGCCTTCTTGCTAAACGAGGGAAAGTTGTGCATATTGATGTTGGCCTCACCTACCAACTGATTCCTGAGAGGCATAGGAAAGCATCTCAGGTAGGAGGTGAGTAGAACCTGGGGGTCATAACGCACCCCAAGGATACAGATCAGACGCTCCACTGTGTTTGTGGCCTCTCTTACTGACTTCTGCCTTTTGTGCAAAGTCAGGATCGCGTCAATGACCTTTTGGGCCTCCTGAGGATCATGCCACCTGTCTTCCACCAACTTGAGGAAGTCATCCAGTTTTTGGTTGACCGCCCAAGCGCAAAAGTCATGATCGTATCCCTGTAACTGCACTAAACCACTCAACCATCTTGTTGCTCTCCCCTCTAAATAGGAGGCAGCCACAAGCACTTCCTCGTGTGGCAAGGTAAGTTTACACTTGACGTAAACTGACACTGACCTCAACCATGTGTCGAGGTCTTCGCCCCTCTTATTCCCTGTGAAGGGTTTAGGAACAGCGATGACCGTCTTTGGAACCCACTGACTTTGTCCCAACACCTGTCCCACTCCAAGCTGTGGACCTTGGGGACCAGGCTGTTGCACTAGCTGCTGCTGGGGATGTGTACCCTGCGGCTGTGCAGGCTGCGAGACGGCAGGCTGCCCGCTTACGGCAACCTGTGACGGAGGTTGGGAGAACACTGTCTGTACAGGAACCTGTACACCAGGACCTGCTGAGAACCCTCCTAATGGCATACCTAGGGAAACGGCTTGGACCGATGTTGGGGAGGCATATGGGGATACCCCAGTCACCGATGGGACATAAGGAGGAGGTTGTACAACAGGTCAGGCACCGGGCCCGAACAACGATGGTGCCGCCTGCGCACTCGCCCAACCAACAAGGCCAGATTCTGCTGGATGTTTTGAAGGAGAACCGTGTGGTGGTCCTGCATCTCTACAACACCTAGAAGGGTTGTCTACAATGCCCTCACATCTGCATCCATGTGCATCAGGTTCATTCCCTCTAGCTCACCGACATCCGCTTGTCTCCGCTGCATCCTGACTCTTCTTCTAATCATTATTTCCTTCTCCGCCTTTATCTCTCCTAAAGCCTTTTGTAGTTGTACCTCTTGCAGTGTTGCTTGTTGCATGGCCATCTCATCAGAAATCAACACTATTGGCTGGCTTGCCATGACGCCAGTGGACTGACTCAGGGTCTACGCGACCGTTGACCCTACGGCCCCTGAACTGCTGATCTAGGAACTTTGCTGCGCAGCAGTTGCTATGGCTGTTGAAGCAGCGACTTCACTTGCGAATGCCCTACTGGCCTCTACTGCCCTAGCTCTACGCTGCTGTTGTTGCATCTCCCTAAGTTGGTTTAACAATAACCTGTCACCCTCTGGTCCTAGAGCCAAATGGGTTATCGGGCGTCCAACCGATCGCAAGATCCAGTCGTCCTCACTAGTGGTATCCCTGTCGCTCATAAGCTACAGAACTATACACGATCTACACTAGGTCACTCTTTGATGCCTACCGCAACGTAGTGCACAAACCGATTTAAAATAATTAAATAATCAATCGGTGGCTAAGTCAGAGTATATACATTTGGGTCCAACGGGTAAGTTCAGGTTCCTACAAACGAAACTACTTTGACTTTGACTAGTTCACAAACAAAAAGCACAATGAACAGAAAACAGTTCTAACTATGTTGTTTGTCATATGTTAATGGTTGTACATCTAACTAATCAAAATAAAAATAGAATCATGTGTTGGGTCTGTTTGCATAATGGAATCTTACCAGAACTTATCACCTGGAATCTACCCATCCCTCAGTTCTTCGTGAATGTCTCTTCTCGTCAACGTCCCTGAGCAATCCGCAACAGCATGCGTGTCTAAAGGTGTGCACATGGCCCATCCCTGTGCCCCGAGTCCCACTAAGCTGGTCAGCCCTGCACAATATTTATCCTCGCGTGCAGCGAGCCTTACACCAACCAATTGGCTGATCAGGAGGCGTTTATATGGACGGCCCCCGAAGTCCTCAATAATTATTTAACGTCACAAACAGGACGACGATCACTACCAATGGTAGGTCCCCGCCGGTACTTATTTATAGACGTCCGGTTCTCGTCTTTCCCATAGGGCTGGCCTGCCCCTCAAAACCCCTCTATAGCGCAACGAGCAGACAAAGCACAAAGCAGCAAAGCATGCGTGCTCTACTCCCAATGGGTTGGCATGGTGACCGTGACCCAGTGCTTCGTCCAGGGCCCTTCAGATAGCACCGCCCTAAGGTGCTCCACGTAAATACTGACGACTCTCAAGGTTGAGCGCACACGACTCCTCACATGAGAGGACTCTCAAGACATAACACACATCCTCACGGTAAGAAGTGTCGAAGAGGGTAGATAAGGTCAAGTGCAATGTACCTCAAAATAGCTGCCCCCAACCACAGATATTCTCACCAGATGACTCGATGCCGATTGTGATGACCAATCACTACTTCGGCATAACCAGCATTACACCGCCGTTCCACCTCAGCATCAATCGCACATCAGATAGTTCTCATCACACTGCAAGCACCCAATATTCACCACATAGTAGCCTTCCTAACGATACCCCTCACCTCCTGGGCTGCCACACTTATCTCCACCCTCCTCACTACACACCTCCCACAGTCGCTCGCCCACCAGACCACGTGCATGTACCGCAAAGGCAGAAGACAAGCGCCAGATGAGCGCACCGTACCACAGCTCCGATACCAAATTGCAAGGAAAATGAGCGATAGCGAACTCCATAAATCACACAGCATCATACACATGAGACCAGATAGTCGTGACCTCGAACCAATAGCAGAATTGCATCACGAGTTCCACCAAATAAGAACACAGCAAAAGCTCATAATTGACAATGTTTGCATAGTCTCATCATCATCGAGGAACCAATGTCGATATCCTATCTGGCGCTCGGCGTCCAGACTACAAATGGCAGATCCTATCTAGCCTATCTACAATGCCGCTGATGACGTCAGCAGCTCCCCGAGTACGAGCAGATCTCGGCCAATGCCGTACACTTCTAGCACCAGGTATGTCTCTCGTATCACTCGCAACCTCGTTCCCCAACTCACAGATGCCACATGCACCCAAGGACCACCATGCGCCCCATCCAGCATACACCAGCGCAGCTCGCCTGCTCCTTCCAGCTTGCCCGGGAGTGTGTGAGCGCTGGCCAGCGTTAGCGCAGTAGCGCTTGCGCAGCATGCAGCCAGTGCCCGAATGGCCAATGCGTGGGCAGGCCCTTCCCTATTTCAAAGTGGCCTGCTGCTGGGTGCGATACTGCGGTACTGGGCCCCGTCCCAGAAGCTTCCGGTAGGCCCCCATGAGGCTGAGCCTCAGTCCAAAACAAACAGGCCCAGGGCCTGTGGTGGTCACCAGCGCCCAACTGCCCTCAACCCTTTGTTCGACCCATGTGTATCCGGCCCAGGGCCTGCCTCAGTTACAGACGATGAAAGGCAGCCTGGGCCTGGGCACTTCCAACCAACTGGCGCTGCACAACTGCCTGAGCTGCCTGAATTTTCCTCAGTTGTGTAGTAGTCCAAAATGGGCCTCGGTCGGGCCTGCCTTCAGTTAGGGCGGCCGACCTTGCTGATAACAGGGCCCAGTGGGGCTTATTGAGGCACAAGTGGGGCTTATTGAGGCCTCGTGCCTCGCAGTAGGCAGAGAGGGAGAATATATATCGTCAAAATATGTATAGTAAAACAATCAAATTAAAAGAAGTGGAGTTTTCGGATCAAATAAATGCAATAATTAGTAATAAATTAATACTAATATGGATCAAAATAAAAATATTTAGTAGAATACACTTATTTATATATTTCTCCAATTGTAATAATAAACCGGTAGGCAGAGAGGGAGAAGAAGAGGACAACAAACGAGGGGCTGTGACAAACTGTTTCGTCGCAGTTTCACCGACTCATCATATATATTTGGCCCGGCCGGGCAAGTAGTCCCGGGCCATTCCGGTAGCCAAGGGTCAGATACATTTAAAACCGAGCTAGTGTGATGATTACACCCTAAATCGAAAACTGAAATAAGCTCCATCTATCTACTTACGGCAGACCGATTTTTTTTTTCTTTTCTTGACAAGAGCAGATGACACCACGCGACAAGTAAAAAAAAAAAAAAAAAAAAAGTATAATGATGGGCCTAGCTCCACCACTCATCAAATGTGCAAAATGAGAATGAATCTTCCCCCAGAGGATGGAAATATACAACGCTATAATTTTTGTCTTTTCTGAATTTACCGAGTGGTGGAGCGAGACCCCGTAGGTCGAGAATCAGCAGCAACTGACACTAAAATCGGTCATTTCAATCCAATCCTTTTTTTTTTTTTTTTTGACTCCACGTACCAAGTCAATGGTTTCGCCATTTGTGCGCGCCATGGTGGAATACAATATTAATCTCTTTTTTTTTCGTTCTTTTTTTTTTTTTTGAACTGAAGTTATCAGAATCA